GTTCAAAGGAGGACAGGGAAGTGAATATTTATGCATGCGAACCTTTCTAAGCCCTTAACAATTTCCCGAGTGGTGAATGGTGTTTGAGTTTATCGAACGATGTAATCGCGTGGTATCACGTGCACGGAATCTCGAACGAAGTTTTCGGAGGACCGAGTTTTCCCGGAGCTGGTTTAGCTAGTTAACTTGCCCTCGGAAGCTGCGGCGGAATAGCTGAAGTTGCTTTCGATTAATTCTCATCTTTCTCTCTCGCCACGAGCGGGAAGTTGACGGAGCGCCCACGGCGTCAAGGTCCGTGTATTAAATGTCCATAAATCCGAAACACCTGCTAACTAAATCTCCAGTCGAGTTAGTTTCGCGGTATTAACAGTCGCATTTAGACCCCGAACTTCCCCTCATCGTAATTTTGTCCGAGCATTTCTTGGATGTTTCTTGACAACGTTCACCAGAGTTTCGTGTTTCCTCGGAAATTCAGTAGATAGTTCTTCCCAATTGAATCGGTTTCCGGATAGTTTCAACTGATTACGCGCAGGAAAGTGCAACCGGAATTCCTGTTCCACATTCTTCACATTTTCACCTGTATCATGAGCGGTTAACAGGCTCTCCATGTAACTACGCTTAAATCGGGATTGATTTCAACGAGATTAACGCGATGCACCGAGGAGAGGTTACTAAAGAGTGGCAGTCTAATGGGATTCAGTGTCGCAAGAAATGGTTTGCAAATTTTTAAACACTCTAGAATGTATTGTCACCGAAGTAAGAAAGAGAAAGCAAAAGGCTCGTCGATACTGAACTGACCAGATAATCTACTCGTTAAAGAGTATTTGAGGAATGCAATAATTAGTCGACTAGTCCTGAAGTATTCGAGACAGAATACTGTATACGACCTTTCTTGCAGGTAATAGCAGTACCTACAACTTTTATTTGAAGCATTTCTCGAAATTCCGCAAAAAAAAAATTTTTCATTATAAAAACTTCTTCTTCATCCGAGCGACAAATGTTTCAGACAAAGGTCGTATCTCTAGCTGTCAAATGTAGACTAGAAATGTTATCGACTGTGCTTTGAGGCCCATCGGGCCTATTCGGTCTTACCGGGCCCGCTGAACGTCACCCACACATTTTTTCTTATACACGCTTTTCCCTATACCTTCATTTCCCTCAACTACGGTACTGGCTTGTCCGTATTTCCGCTCTCAGGTACCCCAATTTCGCTCGCCGGGACTGAGCGGCAAAACGCAGTGGGAATAGCCCATTATTCCCAGTGCGTTTTGCTGCTCAGTCCCGATTACACGGGCGCTGCCACTCTTTAATAGTATCTCCTCGGTGTGCGATGCAAGCATACCATCGATAAGTCACATATGTACGTTGAATCATGCAACGAGATTAGATTGCGTGCGTATCTTCAACGAAAATTGGAGCGCCGCTCCACGAACCCGCTTGGCTATTGTGCGCGTTGTCACAACGATCTCGCCTATTTACTTTGCATCTTCTCTTTCAGGTAGCGAAATCCTTCGAGGCAGAAGCGAAACACCGTCGAGGGGAACCGCACGCAACAGTTCGCACGAGGACGAATAAAAACTGAGCGAGATGACTCACATGCTTCTGCAAGAGCCCGGATGGAAGATCGAGCGCAAGGGTTCGGCGCTGCTGCTACGAAGGGACAGCTCGCACCTGAAGAGCGGCCGAGTCTGTTTCCGCTGCGACGTCGAAGTTCGCGAATTCGAGCGTGACGAGGATTACATGGTCGAGGCGGAACCGGAGACAGCTGCCAGCCCGTTGGCGATGTGTGCCAGTTGCCTGGCGGCTCTATGCGTGACCGTGATTCTCCCGTGGTTGCTGATCGGCGGTTAAACACGCCTCGGCTCGTGATCTCGTGGGGCTCGTTGGGGGGCGATCGCGTGTACAGCGGAACGGAAGTCATCCGACGAACCGTCGAGCAGAGTTCCTTAAGGAATAGATCTCTATTGGACCACGAGAGACCTGATGATAATGGATCAAGTGGTCGATACGAATTCGTCGTTGGGGTTGGGGGTGTCAGCCTGGGAATGAATAATTAAGTAGTAGTTCCTAAACGATTTAAAAGAAGTATTTGTGATTTATACGTCGCTGCGAGTAAGGGAGCGTTTTATCGGGAGACGAGTCGTGGATGTAATATTTTTCAAAGAGAGCTATTGATCCTAGCACTGAAAAAGTTTACGACCGGCTTTATGCTTATTCGCTGACCCGTGTCGGGTCTACGTTTCCACGTAGGAAAGTACGCGTTCCGAGACAATGAAAAAAAAAAAAAAGGAAGAAGAACTCGGCTCGCTCGCGGTTCAAATAGGTTTCGTGAAAGTCGGTAGAGAAAACTGCGGACTTTCTGCATAGATACGCGAGACGAGAGGAACATCAAAGGCGGAACGGTATATTCGAGCGTGCATTAAACCTCCTTACCATTCGTTTGACGATATCGACGAATCCTCTGGCCTCTGGAACGGAGGCGACCCTGTGCCAAACGAGAGAGGCAGAACTCGAAATATTCGCAAAAAACCTTTCGCGATTCGCGGTCCGCTTGCTTTGCACACGCGTCTATACAGATACACTAGCGAACGTGCGCTAGCTGCGTCGCATCGGCTTAAAAGCGATGTACATATGTATACATTTTTCTACGTTTCATCCCATCGATCGGTGCATCCCGCTTGAACGAGGAAATATAATGCAACGCGCGACCTTCTTTCCCAGCTTTGGTTCTCCGAACCATAATTGCACGGTCGATCAATTAAATATTTTACCCCGGACGATCGGTAAGACCGGTAAAGTTCCCGACGCGAAATCAGCAAATGGAAAAGTTCCGCGGTGGAAATCGACGGGCGTATTGAGAAATCGAGCGAAGTTTCGAGTTCGAAGGCCGTAGTCACAGACCGTTACTCGCTTAGAAGATCCGGATCGAATAAATTTCGGTAAGGGAAATAACTTGGGAAATCGCGAGTCGAGTTGCCTACTCACGAACGATTTTTCCAAGTCGAACGTAGAATAGAGTGAGTCACAAATTTACATCGGCCTGTTTGCTGTCTCAAGGATTGTTTACATCGAGGGAACCAAGTCGCTAGTCTAAAGAAAAGAATGGAAGAGAGAATGCGAGCGTGAAGAAACTCTGATAACGTGAGAATGATTGATTTCAGAGGTACACGTTCAGTGCACGTCTGAAGTAACATGTAGACCTCTATCGAACGATTCCAATCGATCAATGTAAAATAATATTTGTTTATGTTTCTAGTAAAATTGTCTGAATAAGTACAGCTCATGTGGAATTTTCACCCCTGGCCTTACACACAACTTTTCTCATTCCCATGAATCACAGCAATATTTCTAAACGATGTTCTCAAGACCTTTTATTTTTAATCATAATATATTTAATCAATGTCGCAATATTTTTATGGTTCCAAGAGTCGAAAATTTGCATTCAACGATTTTGGTTGAACGCCTTGGAAATTCGCTTCTGTTTGCAAGAATTCGTACTATATTTTCGCGAAGCTAATAAACGCCAGGCGAAACGAGGACGATAGCAGGAAAGAGGCTAAATAAAAATGAAAGACGTAAATTTCATCCGGCGTAACGCGCACTTTTTGACCTGACCGAAACGCGTTCAACGCGTCGTAAACCTCGATGAAATGTGTGAATTTAATTTTCCGGTTACTGTGGTCGCATAAATATGCATCGCGGCCTTCTATGCTTCACCGATTTATTCGCGATTACGCTCGCGACCTGGACAGATTTCGCTGACCGTTACCAGTCAGCGGTTTCCCCGGGAATTAACCTGATAACAATAACAATATATCATCTCGATTTTTAATTCAAATTTCAATCAATACCGATCGATTTCCATTAAAACCCCTATTAACTTCTCACAAAATTATATTCCATTGGCAAATATTTTTACACGTTTCTTTGAACGTCATTTTGATACATTCAAGTCTTAACGAATTCGGTGCAGCATAACAGTATACCATTTTATTTTTTTATTCAATATTTCAATCAGTAGCCAGTGATTTTTACTAAAAGTTAATGAGTTCTTAATGGATTTATGAAATACACTTCGGCTGTGAACGATGTTTAACGAGTTTCATTTTTTATTGAAAATATCAATCAACCACCGACGGTTCCTATTAAAAGCTAATATATTTTCGCAGATTTTATACTTTACACATGGCAAATACTTTCATGATCTCGACCATAAACAATATTTAACGAGTTCGGTGCATCGTAACAATATGCCATTTCATATTTTGTTTAAAATTTGAATCAATAGCGATTCCTATTGAAACGCTAATATGCTTTTATGGAGTTCATATAATGCAGATATTTGCGTGACAAATATTTTTACGATTTCGACTGTGAACAATATTTAACGAGTTCGGTGCGGTGTATTGTTCGATAAATCGCGCTGTAAATGTCGCGCCGTTTGCTCGGCACACGCTGAAAGTAGTTGGAGACAAAGACTGGGCAAATAAACCCATCGGTTCGAACGTAAATGTTTGAACAGATTTCGCTGATACGCATTCTTCCCTACCATTCGACGAACGCGAACGACTAGACTCCGATTTGGAGCGAAATTGATGGGTGGGACGTTTCCCTCGGATGCATCTTTAAGTACCTGAAACCACTATCGCGATGACCTCGAAACGCTGTTCAAATAAACTTCGCTACCATTCCCGGGAGTCGCCTCGAAATTTTTACCTCGCGTTCATTGAAATCGATACCGATTATTTTTCTCGCAGGTTTACGTAACGTCCCGCGAGGCTTTTCTCGGTATTTCGATGCAGCAGGCAAGGTTATTAAATATATTATTTAGCGTCAGTCATTTCCATATCGGAATGAATCATTCGGTTTGCACGGTGGAAGTAATCTGGATCGAGGTGAGCCAGAAACCTGAACGGGCGAAATAATACGACAGCCGCGATCGTTGTCTAACTCGGGTCTATCGATATTCGAGTAGATACAGAAATCTCGGTAAGTTTCGGTAACAATCTCATGAACGCGTGACTGTTGTGAATTTATTTCAAGATAACTCGCATTCACGCATCAGAATTAATGAGTTTGAAAACTGTTCCATCCGAGCGGTGGAGAATCTCGAGCGGTCATTCAAATGCCGCGGGGAGATGTGCCGTCTCTGCTTCTTCCGCTTTCGCGTTCATTTCTCTCGGTTTCGGTTCGGCACGGGGGCACGTACGAGTATAGTAATGAAGGTTAATTAGACGGGTTGACGCATCGAGCGTTAAATTAATACCGGCACGCTATCCGCAGCCGACGAGAGAACATATTCAAGCTGATTGCTACAAATTGGCTTCAATTTCCTTCAATTTGCAAGCAACTAAAAAAAAAAAGAATCCGGTACCGTGGGCGGCATCTCCTGACGGGGTTCGTTCGCGAGCAGAGCAGCTGCCGACGTTACCAACCAACGTGTCCATCGCGCGCCTGAGATAACCGCTAGATGGCAGCGTCGTGCGGTCGCCCAAACCGTACCTCATTTGTTAATGTTACGATCATTTCGTGTTTGCAATTAGAGTTAAGTGTGGCTCGTTAGCATTTAATCAATACGAAAATCAATAACATTTATACCAGACTTCACAGTAACATTTTTACAATGGTACGTACACTTGTTATGCACCTGTAACTGGCCTCTGTCGCCGAACTTGTTTCGACTTGTTTCTACGAACGCAACAATATGCTAATTGTTGAATTAACCCAATTCGAATGGTCTTTTGTTCCAGTTACCGGATCTGAACAATCTCGATGAAAAGGTGAGTGCCAACAACGAATTCCATCTTAATAATTAATGACGTTCGCCGTTTCGGTAAGTCGAATCTTGCTTTACATGTTTTCCTCTTTATGACGTATTGAATTTATTTGTGATTGTCGAAATAATTCTCGCATACTTGTTAGACTGCGAGTCTTTATGCAGAATGAACCATTTGCAATGTAAGAAACGAAATCTGAATAGGAATTTCTGTCGTATTTTATAAATTACAGGATTTTTTATATTCCGTGTCGTTGGACATAGAATAAATTGTTTTATTTTTCTATAAAATAATCCGCAGCCTACATACACGCCGCCATCGTTAAATCTCTCGTCGAAAATCGTTTCGGAGCTGATCGACTCGATTTCACGGCGACTTAGGAATTCTAAGCAGAGTTAAAGAGCTACGTGCTCGGAATCGCGAATAAGGCGTGGACGGATCAAGCGCTCACAAAGGGACTTACGTAATCCCGGTGAAAAAGATACACGCGAAAAACCAATAAGGACGTCTCGCGAGAGGAGAAGCACGTGGCTTACCAGAGCCACGCTTTTAATGCCGGTAAACACGTTCGAAAGATATTCCCGCCGTGTCTCTTACCTGCACGCGCATGCCTCGGAATCTATCCTATGGATTAGTTCAAATACCATCTCTCACATCGCGTATGACTGTTCGAATACGACATCACAATTGTCGTTTTGAATTTAAATCAACGTCCCTTTTTATCTGATTCCATAAATTCAAGCTTCAGTCAATTAATTATGTCGTAGGCATATGCTTTGGAAAAATGCAGGTTTATTTAATTACGAGTTTGTGTCACAAGATTTATGAGTAGATTTCATGCTCTTTATTTATCAAGAAAGTAATGTAGTGGTTTTAAGTACCAGGCTATTATTAAATATTAGAAGCTATTACTGTATTACAAGGTTGCATAGGAGTCCAATTATACTTGCCCTATCTTTAGGAAATGGACGTCGCTCCCAAGTATACGTACAAAAAGACTATCTGGCGTTTAATCAGCCATTACAAAACACTAAACTTTTTAAAAGCCCGCGTGCTGGTATAATACTAATCATCAGCCGCGGTTTGTAATTCAGTTTTAGTAACGTTCCATTAATTCGTTTACCTCCCGTTTATAAAAACTTAAAGACAAAAAAGGGAAGCCCACGCTTGTAGTCGCACCTGCCTGGCTTTTAACTCGTTCGTCAACTTTGGCAAATGCAGCTGTTTCCTTATTGATTCATTAATCTCGCGTCAGTTGCATTTATTAGCGATATTTATAGCGGCTGCTCAGGCATTTTATTTCTCTTCACGATACCCTAAATCGTTTCATGGCTTATTAACTCTGAACGCTTTCTCTAGGGTAAGAAATAAAAACCACGTGGCAAAGATGATGGAAGTAAAACGTATCCGAAAGTATTTGAAAGCGTACCGATTTAAAGGAATTTCAGTTATATTTATTAATAATTAGCGACGGTTCTTCGTTACGATTGTTTATTCGCTCCCGTTCGCGGTTCGTCCGAACGGCGTTGCGTAACGCACCATTTCCACGGTGCTTTACAACAATTGGCCGATTATCCAAGAAACTAGCCGCGCCGCGCCGAGCCGAGCCGTGGATCAGGCGAACGTAGGTGGAACCACGCGGAAACAGATCATTAAGATAATCGATTGCGAAATTACGTGCACGCTTCTTCGGTCGGGCAGCGATTCGTGAGAAAAGAGGAACCTGTTTATTGTTCCCCGTGATTGTTATTGACGATATCGAATATTACGATCTGCAATCTTCCCGGCGTATCTGTACCACCGTTGCGTCACCGTTACGGCGCGTGTTTTTCGCTCGGTCGAAATTCAATCGGTCTGACGAGACCAGACGGACGACCGACGGAGCATTTCCACCAACGTGACTCCTATCACGTCAATATCGTAGGTTACGTGATTGGCAAAAAATGGTAATTATTCCTGTTATCGCTGTTATTTGTTCGGTTTCGTCCGACGATTGGCAATGCTTATCTCCTAGTTGTTTTTTTTTAAATCGAATTTTCCATGGGACGCATTGTCCTAACGTAATAACGCTTTCGTCGAATCGTACTTGAATACTCAGAAATTGATTTAATGGGAATCTCGTTTTCAAGATAGAACGAGATCCCTGCCACGTGCCTGCTTTGGTTCGAAAACAAGTGTTACCAATTAATCAATCATTAAAACTGAAACTGATAAGACCGCAAGTTTCATACGTTTTTTAATCAGTTACGTACATATTGCAATGAGAAACCATTGTCACATTTCTTAATTGACTGATAAATGCTAATTTACTGATTAAAGGATCTGTTTTTAAAGTCTGAATCTCTGAACAATTCCGATTCAGCGTTCATTAAAATTATCACGAATGCGTGCGTTTACCTAGGGCAACGTAACGCGAACACCGCGTAATCGTGTTCGCGTTACGCAATTCAGCTCGCGGAACGATTCCCTTCAATTCCACAGCGACGTTGCTCATTATCTACTTAGCCCGGTCGTCGAACTCTCGGCTCGTTTTCATCAACAGCGTTTCCCGTGTTTTCTCTGGGTACCCCCCCGAAGGGTCGCGGGAAACAAAGAAAAAACCGGCAGGCCGTTGTTAGCGCGAGGATGCTTGACCGCAAACGTTCTCGCGATTTCCGAGTGCCGCACGGAATCCGGGTTAATGCATTTTGGCAGGCCGGCACCCGGTCGTTGAGCTCCCCGACAATTTATGTACGTGGAACGGTGACGAAACTGTGTTTAAAAAATTTCGGTTTCGCACGCGGATCGCGTAGCGCAACGTTGAAAATGAGCTTGCAGAATTTAAAGGTCGCGTTCCATAATTTTACCAGCTCGGGCACTCGGTTTGAGTCTCCGGTAGAATTCTGTAGAGATCAAACGCGTCGGTTTGAAACATTTCTCATGTGGGCGATAGGCGTCAAAGACCGATCTTTCAACAAATTTGCAAATAATCCCGGGAGACGAGCAATTTGTCATAAACAACATTGTACCAGTTCGTGCATTCCGGTCAGCGGCATAAACTCGAACGTCGCTAATTATATCGATTTTAGAGGAAGCCCTAGTTTCCGTGCCAACGGACGGGGCTGGTTCCTCGTTGAGGATCGGACTGGGCCCCGGAACGACCTGAAACGATCTCTCCCAGGCCCACGCGGTGGAAAATGCGCGAAATAGCCCGGCGACCCCGCTCCGAATCACCGAGAATCAGCCTCGGTGACCATTAATTCGTGGCGCGCGGCGCGCCACGCGGTCCGCACGCGTTCTTGCACAATCGCCAGAGATCTGCACCAGAAAACCGTTTTGCATAGACATTCTAGCACATAAGTAATCAGACACTTCTGCGTTTCAGACGAAACGTGTCACAGAAATCAATGTAGCATAGTTAGAATATCCTGTTGCGCTCGGTTTCAGCAATTTTTATACAGGTACAAGTAATAGGCGTCGGTGCACGGTAATAAATTGCAAATTTTGATCTGGTCGACCCAGTTTTGATATAACAGTACCGTTGGAAAACGGGATATAGTAAAAAGAATTTTTTTTGTTCGAGGCGCCTTATTATTAATTCCATCTGTTACTTTCATTAACTGTCCTGCGCCACGTGATACTTACGGGTGAGAGTGTATGCTCGCAGAACCGGCCGTAGGTGCCTTTAGAGGTTAAGAAAATATCTGTGTCACCCGCAGCGATCGGCCGACCGGTTGCCAGATACTCGTTGTAAACAGGATGGAATTTGCATGCATATTCAAGCGGCTCTCGGAGCCTGCATCGAGGTCGTGGTACGATCGAGCTTGTCGAGATGTCCGACAATAAGAGGGACGAATTTTTCGGTGAAAGTGAGACCAAACGGGTCTGGGCTAACTCGGTTAACGACACCGGTAGTAAGATTCCACGGATATATTGAGAAAACAATTTCGCCTCAGTTAAAGACCCCAAACAAAAATTAAATACAAATTTTGTTATACAATTTTAAAAAATGATCTATACGTATACACGTGACATCTTTATATTCGTTTCTGTAAACGCGTAAGATTCTAATTATTGCACGTTCATCCCTTAGCCTGGTTCGAACTGGAATCGAAGGAGGCGTCCGCGTTTTCGCTTATTGTGTGCAAATTTCAGATACGAATCGCCAATTACGTACGCTAGCGGTCGGCACAAACAGCCCCACGCGGTACTCGCCTATTAATCGCGCAATGACGAGCACACCGCGCACATACAAACGAGCCGTATATGGCTGCTGCTGTTGTTAGTCGACAGTGGTTGCCAAATCGCGGTTGCTATTAATAAGCGAATAATCATTTGCGTAACGAATAGGCAGAATGTCTTTCGCGAATCTTCGCGACCTCGTCTTTCGGAACTCCCCTTCCCCCCTTAATATTCAATTCCAACGGTCCATCAATAATTATTACAAAATGATTCGTCTAGAGTACTCGAAGCTTCCTTGAATGATCGACGACGGTGTAGATGTCATTGAATTAAATGATTGAATTAAAAACGATCTATTCTTCTTGGATTGATCGACATTCGAATAAATCATGATACTTTATTGCAGGCTTGCAACAATTAGTGACGCGGTGATGTACGATGTTTCATTTTACTTGGATCGTTTCTTATGAACGTTTCGTTTGTACGCGGCTTTTTCACGCTCTCGCGCGTGTCTTCTAACCGGTGGTAAAAATAGACCATCGGGTAGTCGCGTGAAACGCGTGGAAAACTGACCTCGGACTAGCGACTGAACGCCATGCGGGTCTGTTATGAGACATACGTAATTAAACATTCAGTGTGACTGTCTCTGTACTGATATTTGCGCCGTCTTGTCGCTTTAAAAAACAGTTACAGGTTTCCAGTAAATTCCAGAATACCTGCATTAGACATTTTCATGAATTCGATCGAAAATACAATTTTTTTGTGGTCTTTAACACTAGATTGCCCAAGGAAGTGATTTTGACTGGTTTTGGGCAAATGTACAAATAATAATGCATAAATT